GTGTCCCATACTTATTATATTATTAAAAATGTTTTATCTGCTATAAATAAGCGTACAAGATTAAATATGTATTTATTTATTATTTTTAAATTAAAATGTTGTATTTAATGTATGGTTTATGATTTGGTTCGATTGTATTATTTTTTTGCTATCTTCATTATTGGTTTTTTACTTCTGAATCACTCTTCTGTTTATAATAGTATTTATATTGCGTACCGAGGTGAAAAGTGTTTCATTATTGTTGAGAGGTAAGAAAGTTTACCGAAATTAACCTTATCTCCTGACGGAAATTAAGCTATTTATGATTAAAATTAAAGATTTTATTATGGAGGTAATTTATTTGTCAGTGTATAAATTCAGCTAATAAATATATTTTACTACTTTTTTAGATGTAACCGTTTGTGATAAAAATTTGTTTGCTGTTTTATATTAAAAATATGAAAAATTTGTCTTTTATTTCTTTAAAGAAAACTAGAAATAAAGAGATTACACCTTCAGTCAAATTAATATTTTTTGTTCGAATGCTGATTATGAAAACAGTTCGTCCTAGAAGTGGAAAAAGTTGCAACAGCTAAATTATTTATCCCACTTGCACATTTGGTACATACTGTAATGAAGTCAATTTTCGTTAATATCTTTTTTAACTAATTCCGGTTATTAATTTCGATTTTTACTTAATTTTAACTTCGTGGATATGCCTTGTATATCAGTTTGTCGCTGTTCAAATCAAATCGTCGAGATACCCTGCGTGCGCGAGTTGTAATGGTGAGGTTTCTGCTTTGGAAAGGGAAGCGACGATTGAACAAGCTCCGAGAGTCAATTAAAAATTTCAGTTCCTTATACACCGATTTATCGAACAGCCAAAAATAGAAAAATTATTTAGATACCGAAATCCACGATTCAGATATTGCTCGCGAGAGATACAATAATTTAAAACCGATATAAATTTCTAGTCGCGATCTTGACGAAAGGTAAATTGTTGTCATTGTTTTTATGAATTGATTTTTTTTTCGCTCGATACTTTAAGCCGTGCTATATTGGAAACCGATTTATTTTGATTTATTTTTAATTAATAATATTCCGTGTTAAGTTAAGAATTGAAATGAGTTTTGATTAAGAAATACTTTAATTTATTCTTGTTAGAAAGTACCGTTTTGTTTTGGAATTTTAGTTTATTTAAGGCATTAACTGTTAAATAATTTATTTTTCATTCGATCGTAAATATAGTCGTATAGTTAATTTTTCCTACTACCGTAAACTTCCGTGAAAAAATCGGAAATTTCATTTTAGTTTATTTAAAGCTTTAACCAATAAATAATTGGTCGGAACTGTTTGGGAATTGTCTAATATTTTGATTTGTTATCTTAATAGAATTACGACGAGACATTTTATTTTATACTCCGAACCGCAAATTTTAAGAGAACTTAAATAGCATCATTACCCTGTCTGAAGCGGCTCTTGATTACGATCACTTCATTCAGAGATAATGTGCTATCCCGGTTGTTAGTTGGTTTTACTTTCCAACCACTAGTTTGAGTAAACTTCTTATAGAGTCCCGGTTTCAGCCTTGAAATTAGTACTGTCCCGAACCTGTCTCCTCGCATTCTCTGCAACCGTATATTCAATTTTGCTTTGCCGAAACATTCATTTATATTTGATTGTAAATACCGATTGGACAATTCAACAGTTAATTTTTCCTGCGACCGTAAATATTTTTTTTTTTGTAAAAAAATAATAAATTGCATTTTTAGTTTGTTTAATGATTCAACTGATAAATAGTTAATTTTTCCTGCGTCCGTAAAAATAGTCTAATAGTAAATTTTTTCTACGACCGAAATAATATTTCTCCTGAACGAAATAGCAAGTTTCATTTTTAGCTCAACAAAACCGAATAGACGGTTCAATAATAAACTTTCGCCGCGACCGTAATTACTACAATTATTGATTTCATTTTCTGATTGAGGCTATACGAAAGTCATTTCCGGCCGTTTTGTTTGTTTATTTTTCAGGGTTTGTACATATTACCGTGAGGGTGGGCGTTGAGATACCTTAATTTATTTTTTTTTATGTTGTAAATAGTTTGAAACAATATATGTATCAATGTTAACTTGCCGTATTACTGGGTTACTAATTCCAAACTTTATTTCCCTCTTGTATTTCAGCTAGTGATAAATTCTGTACCAGCCCAAGCAACGATTAAAGCTCGTTACTTGTGGCCTACTATTACCTGTGTCTAAGTGACCTTTGACCCCTGGAATATTTCATCTCCATCTGTAGCTACCTGAGTACTTTCGACGTAGCTTCGAGAGTTTGTGGAGTACCAAAAATCTGGCGCTCGAGTGCCGCCCGTAACCAGCGCCATTAGTAAGGGACAATTTTCTCAGAGGCGAGAAAACCCCTTACAATACATAGCAGCAAAGTACCATAATTTCCGTATGTACCTACTATCAGATCAATATTTGGAACACTTTTAACTGCTACATATTGGGGTAGGATTGTTAGGATTAATCACCAGCATCAGAATGGTTACTGAAAATGATCCATTGATATTGTAAGAATCACTGTGATGTGGATGCGAATGGACTGGACTGCCTTGTTCTGTATGTATGACAATTGAAAACAATGAATGTAATTCAGATGTTTTTAGTTTTGGCAACTGTAATGAAATATTTGTTTTATTATTTGAAGACATATACGAATAAGTAGAAAAACAACACCCTATAAAGTAGGTACACCCATAAAAAAATGTGCATGGTCTAAAACGTAAAATGCAATCATCTGATATCAAATTTTATCAGTCCTATAAGAGGTTTATCAAAAAAATGAAGGTACTTTATTGAGCAAAATATTTTTTGACAAACCTCGTATGTAACTGATAAAATATCATTTAAGATGGTTACATTTTGGATTTTACATCATACACAACTTTTTTTTTTTTTTTCTAAAATCCATATACCGTCAAAACTTACGTTAACACAGTGTATATTACAAAATACTGTTCTCTAATTTTGTCAATGTTTATTAAATTTTAGGCTGATTATTGTAAAACATTCCGCTTACTTTCTCTATTAAAGAGCCTTCAAATAGAATATAGGTATGTATATCCAAAATACCTAAGTATGTGTTGTTACTTTTTTAATATTTCTGTTTTTTGCTGCTTTATTTTTTAATGAACTTATAAAAATCCTTTTTATAGTGTTTTTCTTTAAATAGGTAAAAGTATACTGTACAACTCGCGTAATTTGATTGTGCCTGGACATCATATCAAACTATTATACGTTCTATATTATATTTATAATTATCTTCTAAAATTTTTTATAAATTTCTAATTTTCCTTCCATTTCAAAGACCTGTCAAAATGCTGTGTGGGTATTGATATGGCAACCCTGTGGGCCTAGCTAGTGGCTTTGACAGGGTCATTGATATATAGATTGCTTAAAGTTGCAAAGCGATCAGTTATGTTGCCTCGCAAATGCCAATGAAGTGGAGTAGAGTGCTTGTCAATAGATTTGAGATGCGACTCAATCTATGTGTGACTCTATGGACGAAGATGTACATTAGAATTAGGTGCAATTCTATGGGCGCAGCCATTTTTATTTTTCATCTCACTCGAGAGTATTGAAAATAACCATTTTCTATTTCACATTGTGGATTGAACAATAACAATATGAAACATAAAATGGTTATTATAAATAGTCCCGAGTGAGATGAACAATAAAAATGGCTGCGCCCATAGAGTCGCACCTAATTATAATAGTAAAACATGTACATTGGCATTCTACCCCCCTCCAGTTCATTGGCAAGTGCTCATTAATCAGAATCGGTTTAGCGAAAATATGTTTTAAAACCAATTTTCAGCCTTTGAATACAGTAAAAAAATAATTGTCAACATTTTTTACTTCAAGACTCTATGTTCATTTTAAAAAATATGGATGATCAATCTATATAACGATGTGTACCATTCACCTTGTCAAATCAGGCACACAGGGTTGTCATATCATAATCCACGGGGCAGGCAACCAACGCCCCTAATCTATGAAGTAATGCCTAATGATTCAAATCATTGCCTAATTATTAGCGAATAGCTAACACATAGTACTAGCTATCGCCAATAGTTGACTAGAAAACAAGCTATTGCCAATAGCTCTTGTAAATATAGGCAACCAACAGTACACAATGGTATATTTTGTGTTGCCTGTCAACTATAAAGAGTATAATACTTCTTGTTTTATTGTCTGATAAATTTTTGAAACCAGAAAGCTTTAAACTTAATATATTTTTTGAATAAGGAATTAAATAAAAAAAAAGAACCCACGAACAGCCGTTTTGTTTGGAATGCCTAATTAATTTTTTTTTTCGCTAGTGTAAGTCTGGGCGCATCTGTGGAAGGGGATTGTGTAATTCGGGCTGTTATTACGGTCTTCTCTTCTATGACCTATGACAGAAACGTCAAGTTCGAATTGAAGTTGTTTGTGTTTCTTTGTATTTGTATCAAAGCCAAGCTATTTGTTGACCTAATCCTGGTATTTTGATTAAAAATTTGAGGTCTTTTTGCGTGTTATTTTTGGTTTTCCATTAGTGAAAATGATTAGTGATTGTGGCTTTTCTGAACAGTAGCTAAAAGTGAAAAATTGTGTTTATTTGTAGAAGGTCGAAATAGTGGACTCGTCCGGATAGTTGCTTTGTGTGGTTCGTGACTTTGTGTCCCAACAATTTAAACTTAAAACTGAGACTACTTTAAAAGTGGTTAAATTTTCTGTTAAACTGTTTGTAATGTGCCCAAATTATTTGTTGAGCAAAAGATCTGTAAGGCGTACTTTCGTGCCGTCGGTTAGTCTTCTACATTCAAAGAGAAAAGGAATATTCATACATCCCACAGCTATGTTTAAAAACTTTTTTAGTAATAGCGCCTGTATACCCATAAGACAATAAATCCTTTAACAAACACAAGTTTTTCGAATATTTTGCGGTTTTAAAGTGCTAGTGCAGAATTTGCAAGAATGAAGCTTTTGGAAAGTACAAGGTTCGAGGCTATCAACAATGCTCTTGCTATTCAAACTGGTGATAGCAAAATCATAGGTATTAATAATAATATATACTAATATAATTTACTGTAAATCGCCCCAGTAGCACCAATGGAAAATAATAGATATTATTTTATTAATATACTGCCCACTTAAGACCAAAAGCAGTGTCTTAATTAAAGTCAGTCTTGAGAAAAAGCATATTTTCTAAAAGTTGTTTTCGAGTTCCCCAAGATAAAAAAATAATTAAGGTACTGTTGGATACCAGCGTGACAACAGCCATGAGTTCCAGCCATGCTGGGCTGTGAATCCATGGCTGGGCAGTGAATCCATGGCTAGGCCGTGAAGAATTAATTTATTGTAAACAAACTTTAATAAATCCTATGTATCTAAATTATAAAAAATTATTTACTCTTAAAACAAGCCTTTATTTTAAACACTTAAAAAATCTTTACTAGCTTAAAATGCAAGTAAATTAATTTTTTAATAAACAAATTAGCTTGTATTTATGTCTTCTAGTTGATGTATATGTCAGAATATTTTGCGGGGCAGGAAATCATCCTCAAATCCAGCCCTTCTATTAAACACTTAAAAAATCTTGGCCTGCTTAAATTGGAATGAAATGAAACTTTTTTTATATAAATTTGATAATCTTTATGTGCTCAACCTAATGTATATCTCAAAATATTTTACCGGGCTGTAAATCACCCTCAAATCAACCCCTTATATTAAACATTTAAAAAATCTTTACTGACTTAAAATGCAAGTAAATTATTTTTTTTATAAACAAATTAGTTTGTATTTATGTCTTCTATTTGATGTATATGTCAGAATATTTGGCTGGGCAGGAAATTACCCTCAAATCCAGCCCTTACATTAAACACTTAAAAAATCTTGGCCTGCTTAAATTGGAATAGAATGAAACTTTTTTTATACAAATTTGATAATATTTATGTGCTCAACCTAATGTATATCTCAAAATATTTTGCCAGGCTGTAAATCACCCTCAAATCAACTCCTTATATTAAACATTTAAAAAATCCTTACTGGCTTAAAATGCAAGTAAATACATTTTTTTTATAAACAAATTAGCTTATATTTATGTCTTCTATTTGATATACTTATTTGTCAGAATATTTTGCCGGGTTGGAAATCGCCTTCAAAATATTGTATGTGCTAGTATTGTCTTATTTTCATTAAAAACTATTTATTTGTTTGTTTTGAAAATGATGTAATACCCAAACAAGTAAGAACTGAATATTAAGTATCTAATTTGTGTATCTAAAGAAAAAAATCATGACCTTCAGATTAAACCACTAGAGATTTTTTAAGTGTTTAATTATGGGAAGCTGAAGTGAGGGGATTTGCTGACTGGAAAAATATCATACAATATACAGGGTGTTTCAGAATAAATTACTGTAAATGGGGGATTTGTAGATAGATCTTAACTAATTATTAAGAGAAGCTAAATATAATTTTGCTGTAAATGCCCCAATATTCATTATACAGGATGCTAAAGTGAAAAGGGGTTGATTTGAGGGTGATTTGCAGTCAGGCAAAATATTTTGAGATATGCATTAGGTTGAGCATATAAATATTATCAAATTTATATAAAAAAGTTTCATTTTATTCCAATTTAAGCAGGCCAAGATTTTTTAAGTGTTTAATAGAAGGGCAGGATTTGAGGGTGATTTTCTGCCTAGCAAAATATTCTAACATATACATCAAATAGAAGACATAAATACAAGCTAATTTGTTTATAAAAAAATTAATTTACTTGCATTTTAAGCCAGTAAAGATTTTTTAAGTGTTTAATATAAGGGGTTGATTTGAGGGTGATTTACAGCCCAGCAAAATATTTTGAGATATACATTAGATTAAGCACATAAATATGATCAAATTTATATAAAAAAGTTTCATTTTATTTCAATTTAAGCAGGCCAAGATTTTTTAAGTGTTTAATAGAAGGGCTGCATTTGAGGGTGATTTCCTGCCCGGCAAAATATTCTGACTTATACATCAAATAGAAGATATAAATACAAGCTAATTTGTTTATAAAAAAAATAATTCACTTGCATTTTAAGTCAGTAAAGATTTTTTAAATATTTAATATAAGGGGTTGATTTGAGGGTGATTTCCAGCCCGGCAAAATATTTTGAGATATACATTAGGTTGAGTACATAAATATGATCAAATTTATATAAAAAAGTTTCATTTTATTTCAATTTAAGCAGGCTAAGATTTTTTAAGTGTTTAATAGAAGGGCTGGATTTGAGGGTGATTTCCTGCCCGGCAAAATATTCTAACATATACATCAAATAGAAGACATAAATACAAGCTAATTTGTTTATAAAAAAATTAATTTACTTGCATTTTAAGCCAGTAAAGATTTTTTAAGTGTTTAATATAAGGGGTTGATTTGAGGGTGATTTACAGCCCGGCAATATATTTTGAGATATACATTAGGTTGAGCACATAAAGATTATCAAATTTATGTAAAAAAGTTTCATTTTAATCCAATTTAAGCAAGCCAAGATTTTTTAAATGTTTAATATAAGGGCTGGATTTGAGGGTGATTTTCTGCCCGGCAAAATATTCTGACATATACATCAAATAGAAGACATAAATACAAGCTAATTTGTTTATAAAAAAATTAATTTCCTTGCATTTTAAGCTAGTAAACATTTTTTAAATATTTAATATAAGGGGTTGATTTGAGGGTGATTTCCTGCCCGGCAAAATATTCTGACCTATACATCAAATAGAAGACATAAATACAAGCTAATTTGTTTATAAAAAATTTAATTTACTTGCATTTTAAGTCGGTAAAGATTTTTTAAATATTTAATATAAGGGGCTGATTTAAGGGTGATTTACAGCCCGGCAAAATATTTTGAGATATACATTATGTTGAGCACATAAATATCAAATTTATATAAAAAAAAAATTATTTTATTCCAATTTAAGCAGGCCAAGATTTTTTAAGTGTTTAATATAAGGGCTGGATTTGAGGGTGATTTTCTGCCCGGCAAAATATTCTGACATATACATCAAATAGAAGACATAAATACAAGCTAATTTGTTTAATAAAAAATTAATTTACTTGCATTTTAAGATAGTAAAGATTTTTTAAGTGTTTAATATAAAGGCTTGTTTTAAGGGTAAATAATTTTTTGTAATTTAGATACATACGATTTATTAAAGTTTGTTTACAATAAATTAATTCTTCATGGCCCAGTCATGGATTCACGGCCCAGCCATGGATGAACTGGTGGCTGTTGGATTAATTTAAATTATTTTTTAATACTGAATATTTAAAATCCTTGGGTCATATGGATATGTAGTCATTTAGCTTAGTAGTAATGGCATACCCCTAAGCCTTTTAGAAAATGTTCTGAGTGAGATTTTTCCATTTTTCTTAGATTATCTGCATTAAAAAATAAAAAAGTCGATTTTTTTAGATATCCTTTTTGGCTTAGGAGGGCAGTATAGTAATTGCCTATATGGTCGTACACATTCATAGTCAAAAGTACTCAAGTATTATTATCAATAAAATTTACACAGTCGAAAGTACAAATTTTATTTATTATTCAAAATTGCAAGGTAAAAAGGATTAGAAAAAGTTAATCCTACAAAAATGGCTATAGTAAATATATTTGTAAATATTTAATTAAAAAAAAAAATACTTAGTAAGAAATTCTAATTTAGGCCATAATTAGATAAAAGATTTCTAGATTCATCAAAAATTCGATTTTTGTAAATGCCTTTTTATTTTTATAGGTCGTATTGAAAGTTATTCTTGCAAAATGGCAGGAACTGATAAAGCCCTTTACAAAAGGTTCAATGCTGAAGGAGTCAATCCCAGTGATCTTCAGGCTCTATCTCCTCCTCAGGGGGTATCACCTGGCCACTCTCAATACAGTAGAAGCATATCTGGAGATGAAGAAGGACCATTATGTGATACAATCAGCAGAAAAACATTATTTTACCTAATAGCGACGCTAAATTCTGCTTTTCCAGATTATGATTTTATGGACGTTAAGGTATGAGTAAGTTTAAAGTAAATATCATACTGTTTACAATTAAATAAGATAAGGTTTTTCCTATTTTAACATAGATAACGTAACGTACAAGTATGATTAGATTCAACTGGTAAGAAAATGATTAAAAATTGATTAAAATAATCAAATGTTTTTCAATAGTATTTAATAAATATTAATTTATATATTTTTTTTGTGTTATTATTGTCAAATAAAATCACAGGTGGAATTTTATTAGCATCTTGGTAAACAGAAACTAAAATGTATTGTGTAATAATTCTGAAATTAGTCATTTATTACCTTGGGATTTAATCAACACAGATTATTATGTTGCTCCAAATTAACAAATATTTTATATTTTACAATTTATTATTGACCTGATGATCTTTACAATAGGGTTATCTAATCCTTAGTACACCTACATATTTCTATAGTTTAACAGTTTATCTAAGGTCCTTTTATATGAATTTTTTTATAGAGCCATGAATTCAGCAAGGAACCTTCAAGACAATGGGTAACCAATGCCATTGATACAAATCTAGCTGCAACGGCGGGCGAACAGTACCGCGTTCTGGGTCCATCCATGTGGGCCGCAATCGACGATGAAATCTCTTTGGAAAATTGTGATATTTATTCGTACAACCCTGACCTTATCTCTGATCCATTCGGAGAAGATGGCTGTTTATGGAGCTTTAATTATTTCTTCTACAATAAGAAACTGAAGAGAATTGTGTTCTTCACCTGCAGAGCCATCAAGTAAGTTTTTTCAATGGATAAATGTTTTTGATTTTTGGTATATTTTATTATGTTTATTTTTAACACTAATGTTTTTGAATAATTAGTGATTTATTTTTTTTTTTTTCATCGAAACATTTTCAGCTACCATTTGTATTCGTTTTTGATTTTAATAGATGGGAAAGGATTATGGAATAATTTATCCTTTTAAATTTGCATTTTTTTTTTTTTTTTGACAGATAACTGATGATAAGCTGTTTCCATATGTGAATTTATGTTACTAATAGAAGTTTTTCTTATTAATAAATTGGGTGCTACAATATTAAGCTTCAGGAAATTCTCACGGAAATAAAAAGGATGTGAAAATATTCTTGATATATTAATTTTTATTAACCTCCTTTTGAAGATGTGTAGGACAGAGCCTATACAACAAACTGTACCTCTTTTTGATGTTCTACCTTTCCTAGAAAAACTGCTAATTTAGAGGCAAAAAACAAAATATACAAAAAATATCTTTCATAAAGTATTCTATAAATTATATCAATAATTTTTATTTTTTTAGTCCAAGATACACTCTTGACTCTGGATTTGGAAGCGACTTCATTATGGATGAAGACGAATCTTATTAAAATTTACTGTATGTATTAAAAAAAATGCTATAGTATATTAACTTTAAAAAAAGACGATATAACAATAATCACGTCTTTCCAAACAATTTGGCAGGTTCCATACATGGTTCCCTGAAGGTGTTTAAACACAGTTTCATAAAAAAAATGTGCGCATGAAAATCTTTTGGTGAGAGCAAAAGTACAAATTATAATTAATCATAATTGTAGGTCCTTTAGATTAAGGTATTATCAAAAATTAACAATTAAGTAGCCTTCTGAATAATGTTCACAATTTTTTTTGGTTGTACATTAACGGAATGTTGTATGACTCTTTGTTTTCTTAGTGTAGGATAAATAAGTTTAGGCCAGTTTTATTATAGGAAATTAAAGTACTAATATAGTTTAAGGAAGTAGGTTTTTTTAAATGACAGTAATTTTTGTATTGGTTTAGTTACAAAAACAATTTTGATTTATATACAGGTACTTGAAGATCTTAATTTATTATTAAGAAAAACTAAATATAATTTTCATGTAAACGTCCCAGTTTTCATTCTAGTGATGTTTCGACTATGCCCAAAATCTAATCAGCTCACTGCAAGATGGATTAGAGCTTAAGTTTGGAATTTGGTGTTTTTCTCTGTATCCATTCATGAGTTATTGAGTATACAGACACACAGACATTATCGCGAAAATAGTCAAAACGGATTCAGGAGACCTCAAAACGTAAAAATCCAACAAAAACTTGAGATCGAAAAAATCATGATTCTAAAACCATGTAAATGTTAGTTAATCGTCATTATTAGTTACCACACCCTATTTGGATAAATTAAGATAACCCATTGGTGTAGAATCAAGGGCTAAGAAAAAAAATATTAATAATTGCTCATGCAATTATTTCTGAGATTATTCAATGTTAGTCCTACTCAAACATGAAATCTAATCTATGTACATTATAAAATTCCAAAAATGTAAATTTTTATTAAGGGCCGATTTCATAATGAAAATTAAAAGGTCCATTAACTAATGGGGGACCATTCAATCCATAAAATTTTGGTCCCATTTTAGATAATGGACTTTTTAATATTCATTATGAAATCGGCCTCTAAACTTTTATGAATTATAGGGAGCTCAGAAAGTTTAGATTAAAATTGTTTCTTAACCTTTTATTCTACGCCAATGGGTTATCGTAATTTATCGAAAGAGAGTGTGTTAACGGGTCCGAACGACTTAAGGGGCAGTGGAATTTTAAAGAAATTTACTTTTAATCAGAAAAAAAATTGCTGTAAATGCACTATTTAAGCCAAAAAATATTTATTTAATTTCTATAAAAATCAGCATTTTGACGACTGTAAACATCGAAACTCAATGGTTTTTGTCAAATTTGGAAAATATAATTGCAACGTTGCCGGATTGTGATAAAATTAGTAGTTAATGGAAAATTGTCATTGCGCATACTGGTCCATAAATATGCAACAAGAAAACGAAGGAACGATTTATCGTAGGGTGGCGGCTTCGCCGCCACCAAAAAGCATCAACCCATACCTGGCTACGCCGACCGGCATAGACTCCAACGGCCTGGACACAGCTCAAATGGAATAATTGAAATAAAAAGTCTCAAATAAACACATTTATATTCTGGTTTTATCATCTGGCCTGGAGCTATTGAAAAAACAGCCACTGTCATTCCTGTTATGTACGTTCTTTTACTATGTTTGACAACACCACATTTATAGAAATAAAAATGTCAGTTGTCATCTTATTCATAAATAAAACATAATATAGAACGGTATTACCATGAATATATTTATTTAGAAGAAATAAATAAATATAACAAAAAGCAATTGGCAACATCGCTAAAATCTCGCACAGGCGCTCTTAGTGTGACTGTCAAATCGAAAAAATTAAAAACATGAGAATGTCGTGAATAAATGCATATTCTTAATTTTTTAACTTACAAATGTGTTTTAATAATATTTGTTGCTTTAATTAGGTTAGTGCACACTTATAGAAGATTAAAAAGTGTAAAAATATTATGGTTTTACTTAATCATTATGGAAAAAGTGACAAAATTACTGTCCCTAATATCGTCCTTAGCCTGTGTTAACTATTATTAATAATACTCTCCCTAATTCACCCCCTTACGAGTGAATTTTAACCCCAAAAGCTGAGCTTGTGCGGGGAAAGGGACCGCTATTATTATTATTTGCCGTGGCGCTCCGGGGCGACTTAAATATGATTGATGGTGCCATTTGACTTACAGGTGAGGAAAACCTCACCCACTCTCATCGAGACGGTAATGCATGGCGATTTAATAATCTGCATGTCATATCAACAAATTGAATTTCTATTAATACGGCACACATCAAATCCTATACCGAACCATGCAATTTAATTAAAAATCCACATGGTCTGTTCTAGGATTTGAAGCCCGTCAGTCTCCGACCATAAACTTGCCTATAAATGAATATAAGCACGTATTTTTAATTTCAAATATTTACGTAAGGAAAGATTTAAAAAATTATGTATTCATGAAATTCATTTTATCACCTTGTATAATGAAAATTAGGACGTTTACAGAAAAATTATATTTAGGTTTTTCCTAATAATTAGTTAAAATCTACAAGTATCCCTATTTGCAGTACTTTATTGTGAAACAACCTGTATATTAAGTTTAACTTGCAGAATTTATTCAGTTTGTCAAATTGGATAAATATTTATTGAGCTAAATATATAGTGCTTAGCAGTAAAGGACGAAACCTATATGATTTGAGCTTAGTGTGAGACGTGCATATAAAGTACATACTGAAAATTGCTGTTATTTAAGAAGATTTATCCTAAAATTGATTCTCTACTTAATACATTAACAATGTTTGTAATAAATACTTCTATTCATAGCTCAATATTATTTTTTCAGTATGAATAAAAAAAAATCGGTAAAACTGCTGTATAACAAATTTGTACTAATTTTTTTTTAATCTTGTTTGACTATGGAAGTTTCACATTTCCTTTGTATATGTTACATTTGTTTATCCACATCCGATACATTTTTTACCTGTCAAGTGTTTGTTTATTCACATCAGACACATCTGCAAGCTTATGATCTCATAACTTTTTTAGACTCTATGCATCAAAATTTGTTATCCTGATAAACTTTGACAGATGTTTTAATTGTGAATAATTTGAAGTTCATGTCTTAGGTCATGGTCGAATACTAACCATGATTTTTTGGCAGGTGTTCTTAAAAAAAAAAACTAAATTGTTGGTTGCATTTGGACCATGGCCCAAAATTGCGTCATTTTGTGATAATTCGACATTCGACTTAATGGTAGCCGCAAAAATATACCAGTTAGTGAATTGACGTTTGAGTCATAATTTTTCAAGTAACCGCGTCCCTAATTAACCAGTTTTTCAGAAATGTCAAGCAGAGTGGTTAGTTTTGGACCGAGTAACTGATATTTTGGTTAATATCTGACCACAACCTTACATTCTCAAACTCTGTCAAAGTTGAATCGCGACTGTTTTTGATAAGCTGATTTGTTTCTAAGTAGGCAAGGCACACACTACAGTGTTGTCAAGGGTAATACCATATTAGGTGAGAATTTGTCGTTTCCTTTGAAATTGTGCATCTAAATGTAACGAAACAAAATCCTCTTTCATTTCAGGAGAGTTTTGTTGAGTGAACATTGCATAATTTCTAAGAAAACATGTTTTCAAAAAAAATTCTCATCTTGCGTGGTATTTGGAAAGATTATTTATTATTTTAACCGCAACTTGCTAATTTTATTTGTGAAATTAATATTTGTTGACCATTTTTCGTCACCTTTTTGACAAACTTAATTTAGACGTTTTGCATAAATCATTGATAGGTTTGATTTTTTTTTTAAATCCATTCGAAATTAAGTTTGTTTTGATTGGCGTGTGTTGAAAGAAATAAGATTGTTTTTGTTTCCATAATATTAAGTTGAAGTTATATTGATGATTTATTTAAAAATCCATATTTTTATAACCTCAACAATGTTTGCCCAATTGTCTTCATATTGATATTTCGCGGGGTTGAGTAAAAACACTGCACTATTCCGTGTTTTTAGATAGTTTGTTTTAATTGACGTGTGATGGACATTGGTTGATGTATTATAATGTTAAATAATACATATCAATTTATTTTCTTGTACTAGAATTTTGAACCGAAGAAAGTTAAACTTAAAAATATTATTCCTAGTGTAACATTAGAATTTTAGTACAACGGTTACGGCTGTTACTGCGGTTACCTTTGTCACTGATATTATGATATTATGAATGATATTTTTCAGTTCCACTTTAATAGAACAGTAATAGATTTGTTACAATTATTGTAATACTAATGGTAACACTGATGCCTTACCTACTTAAACAATAATTTATCAAATGTACCCCAGAGGGCGTATTGTTATCTGGTCTTTAAATTTTATTGAACATTGTTGTAATCGTATGGATGTGGTATTACTACTGTAAAGTCTTCGTAGAAGAAAAAGAATAATTGAATCTCTTTATGTTAACTCTTATACACATATTTAGATGAAGGTATTTATCAATATAAAGGCATTGTATGATGCAAATTATAAAATAACCCTGTATGAGATTCACCAATGAAAAAATAAGCGACTAGCGATGTTATATTTTTTGCCAAACAGTTCTTAAACAAGAACTTGTTAGTTTTATTATACAGAGAGAGCAATGTTTAACTTTCATAGCCAAACCCAACTGAATAGCATATAAATTTGCAGTGTGAACACAAATTAATATATTTTTATTTATCTGATTTATATTTGTCAGAATTATAAATCTATTAATAATCAAATAGCCACACCTTTTTTGGCACTTATATATTAATGAACTGAATAAGCAAATTAAAAATTACAGTATTAAAATTAAAAGGAGTTTCGTAGAAATATTTAACAACATTGTTTATTTATTCTGTTATGGTTTTTATTAAATAAATACAATTTTCTTTATGTTAATATAAAGCGTTTATTTTTAGCAAA